CCAGAGAATATAATCAATAAGATTTGGTATAGCCCATTTGATGATGTCCATGTGTAGAGTCGCCTCTTGTGTTGTTGGAAAAAAGTGTTTGTGATGACCAGCTTGTTCTCTTAACAAAACTCTATTAGCCTTTGCCCTGCTTCGTTTTGAACTACAAGGCCAAACTTACCTGTTGTTCCTTTTATCTCTTGACTCCCTACTTTAGCATTCCAATCACCTATAATGAGAAGGACGTCTTTCTTTGGTGTCAGTTCTAGAAGATGTTTGAAGTCTTCATAGAATTGGTCAGTTTCAGCCTCTTCAGCATCAGTGGTTGGTGCATAAACTTGGATTACTGCGATGTCGAAAGGTTTGCCTTGGATTCGTACTGAAATCATTCTATCGTTTTTGAGACTGTATCCCAGTAGGGCTTTTACCACTCTTTTGTTGACTATGAGGGCTACTCCATGTCTTCTACGGGATTCTTGCTCACAATAGTAGATATGATAATCGATTGAATTGAATTCGCCCATTCCCATCCATTTTAGTTCACTGACGCCCAGGATGTCGATGTTTATTTTTGCCATCTCCTGTTTCACCACCTCCAGCTTCCCAGGGTTCATAGATCTTACATTCCAGGTTCCTAGGCAATATTTTTTTTTGCAACTTTCTCTAAGCTAGATACAGCAATAGCTGTGGATGGAAGCTGAATGGAGGTCACAGTGACTTCAGCGTCTCATCACAGTGACTCTCTTCTTATGGGTTTTAATCTACATTGCAATTTTAAGTAACTTTGCCTTCACCTTGCTGGCTTTCCACACTTACTCAAAGGTCTCAGAAGATGGTTTTCAAGTCAAATGTCCACTGGGTCCCATTTGGTCACCTGCACAAGCGGAAACACTGTTGTTTTAAGTGCATGTTTCTTTGAATCTGACATGTTTACTGCCTTACTTGAAAACTATGAGATGAAAGCATAATCTTTACAGAGAACACATGTAAGACTCTGAGTAAACAAACCATCTTTTGATTCCAAACAGAAAGAACACATCATTGTATTTTCTCATTCCAATTCATGTGCACTACCTTCACTGTCTAACAGATGCCGCTAACTAAATGCCTTCAACCTCTTAAAATGCAATATCAACTAGGCAGAAAGCAGCAGCTGACATGCTTCAGCAACTCAAGTGGACGGATTGTAAGATTTTGTAGACGTTTTCTATTACTAAGTAAGTTTTGCAGATGGGGCAGTTTGTTTGGATCTATCTGGCAAGACTTGTCAACAGAACTGATAAAATGTGAGACTGCTTTAACAAAGTTTGTACAAGGAAGAGGAAATATTGGGTGGCGGCAATTTTTTTGTTAATATAAAGAGTAAGAAGGATGCATTTACGGATTATCCACGCTGTCGCTCTGCTATACAACAAACAGACACAGACTCTGCTTAGGATTTGGCAGGTGCCTCAGGGGAAAAGGCTGCCGAAATACATTTTGATAAAAGTGGGCAGTGACTTCAATCATATCAGATTCCGAACCCAATACTTAAACAGCAAAAATGAAATAATAACTGCCTTTATCACACTCCATATATTTGATTGAAATTCTGCCTCAAACACCAAGAGAAAGCAAAGGGCATTCTTTTTGTTTTAATTGGTGTAATGTGATTTCTTCTAAGCTCCCCGCTGGAGACAAAAATCTCCTTTCATCAATAATGCTTTTCACTTTCTGATAACAAACCATATGCTAATTTCATTTTTCAATTAGTAACCTCAGAGCTTTATTTGAACTTGAGCAAGGGAAATCCACAGGTCATGGCCTCTTCAAGAGAAGTATGAAGCACTGATAGAGGACAACATCTTTCCAAATTTCCCTTCAGGCAAATTAGGGAGGAAAAGAAAAAACAAAAGAAACTATGAAGCACTTATTAACAAGTCAAAAAGTCTGTTTAGTTGCAGCCCCCCAGCTGTGGGAATTCTTTCCTTAGGAGGCCAAGTCTTCCCTATCCTTGTTCTTCTTCCACCAGCAGGCAAAAGCATTCTCTTTATGCTCAATTTTGACATCTGACTGACCAGCTCTTAATGGGCACTGTGACTGTGCTTTTAAAAAAAAATCAATAGTGTTTTGATGTTACAATTCCTTTAACTGTGCTTAAACTTTGTGTTGCATTTTTTTTACCCATACAATATTAGTTACTTTTACTGAGCACTACCTTTAGTTTCAGTTTTGGGGAGAAAGTGCCAATCAAATTTTTAAAAAAACCAAACCAAAAAATAAATGTAGGGTGCACAAACTGTGCACCCAGTTCTCCACTAGCCTCCTCTTTCCCCAGAAAAAAAAATAAAAATACCACTCCTGGGACCCTCCAAGAATAGTGATTCACTGTCTAAACAGTCTGCAGCTCTTCCCACACAGTTTAAATCCTCCAAATACCCATTCAGCAAAAGCTTCAACAAAAAAGAAGAAAGTCTAAAACTCAACAAAGCCTGGCTCCCAGCAAGGAAAAATACAGCCTGCAAAAGGTCAACGAACTCTACCCAGCCATAAGGACAGGTGATCAATGCACACAAAAGACTAGCTAACGACACACATCAATCACAGTGACAGATCATCTCCCCCCTTATCAGAACAGTACACCCATAACAAAAAAACAACCTGATCATCATAGTCACCCACTCTCCTGAAAAGGACTAAAAGCTGATCCCACAGCTACAAATTCTCACACACCACAGCAGAACACAGACAGAGTTCTAACTCCTGTCCTCTGAAGATGCCAGCGACAGAGACTGATGAAACGTTGGGAAGAAAGATCTTCAGAACATGGCCAAACAGCCCAAAAAACCTACAACAACCATCGGTTCATGGAAGAGTTTGGTAGTATGTTTTTTTAAAGTCTCAAACAAATATCAAACAATTTTTTTCATCGCCCCTATCTTTTGCCAAGTGATCACACACATTTTCAAGTAGACCATAAATATCCTTAGATTAATGTACGTTTCCAGGTATCAGGGGGTAGGTGGGTTGGTGGGTTGGTGGTAAGTTAACACAGCACACAAAGGAGCATTAAGAAAGCTTCAATAAAAGCCACATGTAATGTTGTTATTGAGTTTAATTGCTTAGAACTGGTGACTCCATAAATTGTAAATGTCTCTATTTGAGACTGAAGTAAACCCAGACTGACCTCTAGAGAAAGCAGAAAGCAGTTATATAAATAATTACCTTGGGGCCTCTGTAGTCGTTCTGACGTTGAAGTGATCTATAACTCCAAATTATGTCTCCACCTGGACAAAGGGAAAGAGTGAAAGTTCTCACAAACCTTGGCATGTGAATTTGTAGAAGCAGGACAGATTGAAGGAAGAAGGGAAGCAAATAGTTCATTATTTTTATTTTACTACCATTTTTCTAATGAAACAAAATACTAAAATAATTTACAACATGATCCTTCTAAAAATTAAGCACTTTTAAGTCTTGTTGATTTTGGTGAAAAACATTTAAACTCTAGCTTAGCCATGCTGTTGGAATCAGCGGACCACATAATTTTAGAAACAAAAGCTCCTGCAGAGACAGCAGTTGGGAGTTTGACTCCCCACTGGGTCTGACAGAGGCTGGACTTAGCACACTTCATATACGGAAATGAGATATAAACTCTGCAAAATTAAAATGTATCTTTTGATATAAATCCTTTTCAAAGTGTTCAAAACTGCATACACAGAACATACTTAGGTTCCTAATTAGAGATGGGCACAAACAGGAAAATGTTCATGGTAAATTGATTTGTCAATATTCATGAAATAAGAACTTCCACAATCTTTCTGACCAACAAACTATTTCATAGTTTGTGTGATTCAGGACTTCTGGTAGTGGTAGAAGAGCCTCCGCACAGGATAGAGATACCAAATTTGCACCATGTCTTGAGCTGACTCCCCACCCCTCCCCATCCCACCCCCATGCAAGTTTGACAAAGACTGGATTCAGGATATCTGAGTTATAGCCCTTCAAAGCAGTTCCCCCTAGGAAAGTACTCTTCAGCATGTCCAATGTCAGCTCAGACAAATCATATATCTGGACCAGTACTGCCTTTTCTACAGACCACTGCTCCTCAAAGTCTCTGATGCAAAGGTCTTTCACATCACAGGTGATCCGTTCCTAAATGGAGCTGAAAAGATGGAACCAAGGTCTTCTGGATATAAAGCATTGTCTACTAGTAAGAGTGGCATGTCACAGCATTTTTCTCCTGATTATGTAAACGTGAGCAGTAATCAGCATAAGAAGTAAAATGTTTTTATATACAAATTTTAATTCATTTTTTAAAATACGGAATTGGACAATTTAATTTCTTTCACTAATCATACAAGCGCCTAGTATTCTGTGAATGTTAAACTCAGTATTGCAAAAGTATTACCCTAATTCAGACATATTTTGCAGCTGTGTCATCTCCATTCTTTTCGCACTATTCAGTGGCAAGGTCAAGCCAACTATATTTTATTTTCTGAACAATACAATTTATATTATAAACACACACACACAAAGGAATGCAATGCAAAAATGTTTTAAAAAACACTCTTTTACACAGCTTTTATTTTCATTTTTCAGAAACTCCTCCAATGAAAACTGTAACATTAACCATTACGATTTATATAGCAAGCAAAAAAGACAACTTCTATTCACTTATCAAATAAAACATGGGGCAGCAGCTAGTGTTGTAGTTCTGCTAGAAGAACAGCAGCATCAGTGGAATCATGACAAACACTCCCCTTCCTTCTACATCCACTGAGCAATGCAAAAGCTAGCTCTGAATTCTGGGAAAACCTCAGAACACAGCTTTCATACTGAAAGATATACAGTGGTGCCTCGCTAGACAGTTACCCTGCATGACAGTTTTTTCACTAGACATTGACTTTTTGCAATCGCTATAGCAATTCGCAAAACAGTGATTCCTATGGGGGAATTTCGCTGGACAATGTTTGGTCCCTGCTTCACAAACCGATTTTCGCTAGACAGCAATTTTTACAGCTCCCTCCGCGCTCGCAAAATGGGTGTTTTTGGGACCTAAGCTTCGCAAGACAGCTATTTAAACAGCTGATCGGCAGTTTGCAAAGCGGCTTTCCTATGGCCAATCTTCGCCAGACTACGACGATTCTTCCCCATTGGAACGCATTAAACAGGTTTCAATGCATTCCAATGGGGAAATGCTTTTCACCAGACAATGATTTCGCTAAACAGCGATTTCAGTGGAATGGATTAGCATCGTCTAGCGAGGCACCAATGTATGGGAAGAAAGGTTCTGCCATGAGAATCAACAAAATGTAGGATTTAATTCCTGTTATTTTCAGAACATTGAGAAGTCAACTGTTTCAGGCTTACCGGATAGCTCAGTGGTTTAGGTCTCTGGCTGCAGAGCCAGCAGTTGTGAGTTTCATTTCGCACTGGGTCTGACAGAGGCTGGACTTGATGATCTATAGGGTCCCTTCCAGCTCTGCAGTTCTAAGGTTACTAAGACATACCAATACCTGTCATTAGTACTTTAATGGACACCTGAATGACAGTGAACTGCAACTATTTTGGTTTCTGCATTTGAAGATATTTCAGTCATCCCTGTAGACAAACTGATCACACGGATTAAATACAAAACTCCTAAGCCAGATGGAGCCACTGAAAACATTCACAGTATAATGTTGCTATGATGTAGTTCAAAGGCGCAACATAGACATGCATAGAAATGTTATTTTCCATCTTTCCCTCCTGTAAATACACAAAGACAACAAAGTGGGGACAGAAATATCATTATGGTATCAAAGACTTGTCAAAAATACAAATGATAACCTAACGATCTGTAGATATTCCTTTCTGACCTACATGAAGATTATTTCTTTTATTTACTAAGACACACATAGAATCACAGGATAATAAAGTTGGAAAGGGCCTATAAGGCCATAGAGTCTAACTCCCCACATACTTCTGCTAAGTAATATTTGGGCCTCAGAACAAAATCCCTTTGTGGAAGTCAGGATTTTTTGAACCATTACTCATTTGCAGATAAAGTATTTCATCAGTCATACATGAAAGATGTGAACTCACTCTCATGGGGAAACGTGGTGAGTAACTGAGAACACACTATGCCCCCACAACTTCCACTCTTGTGATATACTAGATTTTGGGCAAATTTAATAAGATGTCATAAAATAGCTTGGCACGAGTTTAATCTGTTTCACATACTCATTCCGTAGCTGCTGGAATTATCTGGTTCAGAACTTTTAACTGGACCTTGGCACTAGTTTAATCTAACTGTTTCACATACTCATTCCGCAGCTGCTAGAATTATCTGGTTCAGAACTTTTAACTGGACTGCTATCTCCTTTTCAAAGAGGAACCAATATGATTATTACAAAATAACAAATTATCTATTTATTAGTGTTCACTCTGAACACTAATATCATCCCTTCTGTTTTATCCTCAGAGCAGACTATTAATGCACTTGTCCATTAAAGTACTTTTAACCCATCCTGTACTGGTAGGTCTCAAGACAGGATATATTTAATAAATTGGTAAAGCGTTGGCACAAGTCAGGCCTCCAAGGGAGGATGTAAGAGAGCTAGTGTGCTGTGGATAGAGTGATGGACAATGACTCGTGAGACCTTAGTTCAAATGTCTGCTCAACTATAGAAACTCATAGAAGGATAGTGGCAGGGGTAAAACCACTCTCTTAAATATCTCACATATCTTGTCACTATACGTTGGATGCAACGTGATGGTACATGACAACAAAATAAAGAAAGCCTTCTCCTGCATCTTAATGTTCTCTCAGAATGGGACAGAGGGAGATCCTCCAGCAGATAGGCCCATATGAGGAGAGGTACTCTCTCAAATATCTTCATCCCAAACATATTTGCATAGAAGAGGACAGTGTGGACACACTTGCTGATCCTACAACTACTGTGGAACCTGCATGCATGGTGTGCATGCTCTCCCATACAGACATGTCCCTACAATGCACGAATAATTACTGCATTTGCTTTTAATTCCTTACTTCCAAAGCTACAAAAATGAATATAAGCCTCTTGGTACCTTGAATATAAGCCTCTTGGTACCTTTTTCCCTGAAAGGAGAAGAAGATACTACTTATCATTTATGAGCTTATAAGAAAAACAAAAACAAAACAGCCCGACAGCAGCCCATGCAGAAGTATTTATGATCCACAGGACAAGAATTTTATTTCACTCTTGCAAGCAGCCTGGTTGGGCTTAAGACTGTGGGAGACATTTAAATAGCTATCTACATACTGCTGAGGACATAATGAGAGGTGTCACATGACCTCTGAGGTCACATGATTGCTGGAGCAACAGTGCTCTAAATTCTTGACAGTTGGCCTTTGCCCACTTGCTGCTTTCTTGCCTCAACAGCCACTGGGAGCAGAGTAAGTTAGTAAGACCTTGGCTTTTCAAAATTACTTACATTTACTGGTTGTTGTGGGTTTTTCAGGCTCTTTGGCCGTGTTTCTGAAGGTTGTTCTTCCTAACGTTTCACCAGTCTCTGTGGCCAGCATCTTCAGAGGACAGCACTCTGTGCTCTGGTGTAGTTTGCTTGGGAGTGGAATATTTATGGCTGTGAGATAGGCTTTTGTCCTATTCATGAGATGGGCGATTAGTGTGTTGTTGTGAGTGTATTGTTGTGATGAGGAGATTATCTGTCACTGTGATTGATGGGTGTAATTAGCTGGTCTTTTGTGTGGAGTGATCCCTGGTCCTTGTGGCAGGGTAGAGGTCGTTGACCTTTTGCACACTATATAGCGGTGCCTTGCATTACGATGTTAATTCGTTCCAGCAAAATTGCTGTGGAACGAAAACATCATAAAGTGAAATTAAAAAGCCCATAGAAATGCATTAAAACCTGTTTATTGCGTTTCCGATGGGCTTAAAACTCACCGTCCAGCGAAGATCCTCCATAGGGTGGTCATTTTCGCTGCTTGTCTTGCGAGAAATCCGTCCCTAAACACAGCGGGGAGCCATTTTATTTACCCGGCAGCCATTTTGAAACCACCAATCAGCTGTCGGAAAATCGTCGTTTTGCGAAGAATCGGTTCCCGAAGCAGGGAACCAATCATCGCAAAGCAAAATTCCCCCATAGAAAACATAATTTTGCAATCGCAAAAGCGATCACAAAAAGTTCATCGTAATGTGATTTCGTCGTTAAATGAAGCGATCGTAATGCGAGGCACCACTGTATTTTTCAGAGCTGGAAGCCAAGTTTTGTTGAGTTTCAAACTTTCCTCTTTTTTGTTGAA